CGACAATCAAGATATCATCCACGTATACTAGAGCAGCAATGAAAAGTGAACCAGAACTCTTGACGAAGAGAGAATGGTTTGAAGATGCTTGCTTAAATCCAGCTATAGTAATGACTTGAGATAGCTTCTGATTCCACTGTCGTGAAGCTTTTTTGAGTCCATAAAGGAACTTGTGCAGACAAAAAAACTGAGTTTGGAGGACAAGAACGACCAGTTAACTCAGTGTAGCCTTGTGGAATAGTCATGTAAATCTCTCCGTCTACATCTCCATTGAGAAAGGCATTACTCACATCGAGCTGTGCCGTGGACCAATGTTTAGCAGCAGCTAGAGCCAATAAGAGAGGCAGAGAACCAAGCTTAGCAACTGGTGAAAAAGTGCCCAAGTAATCCAAGCCTTCTAACTGAGTATAACCCTTAGCAACAGGACGAGACTTCGGTCTCTCCACCGTGCCATCAGGATTGAATTTCTAAGTATTGAACCAGTTACAACCAACAGGGTGTTTACCAGGAGGCAGCTCACAGATGGACCAAGTACCAGTTTCTTCCAGAGAAATCATTTCAGATTTCATGGACATCCTAAACTCATCACAAAGGATCGACTCTTTATAGGTTTTCGGAGCAATAACCGTGGTAATATTGATTAGAAAATTCCGTTGTGCAGAAGAAACCTTATCATATTAAAGAAATGCAGGAATAGGATAAGATGTCGTATGATTAGAAAGCGAAAAAAATTCCCTTTTATTTAAAAGATAGCAGTGATATTGATCAAGATATGCAGGTGCTTTGGTTTGACGTTTAGTTCTAGTACAAGAAATATGAACAGGGTTATTACACGAAGAACTAGGAACATCAGACGAAGATGAAATAGGAACATAATCAGATTCAGCAAACGAAGTTAAATCAGGTGAAGAGTGTGGTCCTATATCAAAGAAAGCTGGAAACGGAGAATCAGGAACATGCATAGGAAAAACATGTTGACCAAAGATTTCATCTGTTGAATGTTTATCAAGGCGTTCAGAGAAAGGAAAACAGGTTTCATGGAAAACAACATTGCGTGAGATAGAAACGACATTTGTATCTAAATCAAGAACTTTATAGCCGTTGTAACCTTGATATAACCTAGAAACACACATGGAGAATCCCTAGGAGAAAACTTGTCTCTATCTTTTAGCAATGTGGAAGTAAAACAAATACTTCCAAACACTCTAAGATGCTTATAACTAGGACGTTTAGCAGTGAGAAGTTCATAAGGAGTTTTGTTTTTCAAGAGAAGCGTAAGAGTTCTATTAATAAGGTAAACAGCTGTTTGAATGCAGTCACCCCAATACTCAATAGGAATATTTGATTGAAAAAGCAGAGAACGAGTCACATTTAAAATGTGTTGATGCTTTCTCTCTACAGCAGAATTCCGTTGAGGAGTATAAGCACAAGAGAAGTAATGGACAATACCTTTTGAAAGAAGTAAAGATGTAAAAGCAATTTCAAGTGTGTTATCAGTCCTAATCGCTTTGACAGAAACATTATATTGAGTTTCAACATGTGTAAGAAATTCAGGAAAAACTTTAACAACCGAAGTTTTATCTTTTAGAAGATATAACCATGTTATTCTAGTGCAATCATCCACAATTGTCAAAAAATATCTATAACCTTCAATCGTTGGAACATGAAATGGACCTCAAATATCAAGATGAATCAAGTCAAAAGGCAAAGAAAACATATTATTCGAAGAAGAAAACGATAAACGTTTTTGTTTTGCAAGAGGACAAACTTTACAAAGATGATCATGAACGATGTTATCTTTTGAAATATCTAAATCTTTGGAAAGAAAAGAAATCTTGTGTGGAGATGGATGTCCTAATCTTTGATGCCAAACTTCAGACGAAACTTGAGATATATGATGCACATGAGCAATGGAAGACGATTCAGGAGCATGAGAATCCATGATATAGAGATTTTGTTGGAGGTTACCCTTCCCAATCATGTAATCCGGAGTATGCTCATGAAGAAAATCAAGTGGATTAAAAGGAAGTATGTAACAAGAATGAGAAGAAAACAAAAATGAGATAGAAGTATCCTTAGTCAAAGCACTAATGCTCAAAAGATTAAATTTAAGAGTCAATTGAGATGAAAGAACAATTGTGCCAGGGAGAGATACAAGAATACGAGAATCATCAGGCAAAGTAACAACCGTATTAGAAATCATTATAGTAGTAGAAAACAAGTTAAAGTGAGAACAAACATGTCAACTAGCTCATGTATCTATCACCCAAGATTAAGACGAAAAAGTAAGGCCATTCTTCATTTCCACAGAAATAAAATGTATTTGTGTGAAAATTTTACTTGAAGAATATGCCTGATCAGTAGTTAAAGTGACTATATGAGGTTGAGGTTTAAAGTAGAGACCGATCCATTGGAGAGTTTAAGAACACTGCCCGCAATCTGAGAATAATTGTTCTCAGTACTACTAGAGTTGGCATTAAGAACACTTAGAAGAAGTTTCTGAACTTGATCCAAAGTGACTGTCCCCAAGCGAGTACCATGATGGTCATGCATAGTAATACCCCCAGATTCATGTGTAATATTTTCCACGGTAGAACCCTTAGACCCATGTTGTTGTTGAGAACCAGATTTGTTAGAAGACATGTCATGTGACTTGTTCAGCGAGTTGTTAGTCTTATACCCTTGAGGGTAACCGTGTAGTTTGTAGCAACGATTCACGGTATGGTCAGAGAGTCCACAATGAGAACAAATGGGACGAGTCCATTGTTTATTGTAGCCCCCTGAATATGCCGCAACCGCCGGTTCCAGAGATGAATCTCCTTGAGAAATCTGACAGGTCATATTGCTCGTAGACTTCATAGATCGTTGACGTTCTTCTTGGGAAATCAAGTTGAAAACCTTCGAGATAGACGGCTTAGGCTCCAGCATCAATATTTGTCCTCGAGTAGCCGTGAAGGTATCATTTAATCCCATGAGAAATTTGAGAATATGATCTTGTTCATTTCTTTTAACTAGCTGTTTATGGCCCGCACAATCCAACTGACCACAACAACATGTATAAGGAGCTTCATGATTCTTAAGCTCCTCCCATAGTTTTTTAAGATGAGTGTAATACGCACTCACAGTATTAGAACCCTGAACTTCTAAATATATCTATTGTTTGATTTCAGCTGTTCTAGGTCCATCACTCTGCTTGAATTGATCATGAAGATCCTGCCACATCTGCTTAGCCGTCTCCAAATACATGATACTGTTCGCAATAGATTTATCAACAGATTTCACAATTCAAGTGCTCACAATATTGTTACAGCGTGACCAAGAACCATAATCAGGATGACTCTCATCTAATTCCGGAAACACACCAGTAACAATCGCATCCTTATTTCTAGCACCTAAGGCCATAAGCATCGATCTACGTCAGCTATTGAATTCCCAATACCAACAAGTTTTTCAGAGACAAGGGAGATACCAGCGTGATCAGCATGATGAACAAAGAGAGGATTGGAGTTAGGATCAGAGAGCGACGGCAAAGTAGATCCAGGAATCGAAGCTTCAGAATCTTGAGGATCCATGGTGAATCGGAAAAATCGTCAATCCAAGAAGCGAAGCAAGAGAGGAATCAATCGATTCATAAACAAAGCAGAGAGATGATGAAGACTGCGAAACAATAGATCGCGAGAATTTGTCGAAGAAGAATCACCAAGATCTCGGCCAATAATGGATGAAAGAAAACATTCATAATCGAAGAAACGTAACTGATTTGAGTAGGGATGATGATGAAACGAAGCGGAAAAACGAGAATCAGAATTGCTCTGATACCATATTAGATGATTCAAAGCTCAATTATGAAGAAGATGATGACGAAAGAAGCAAGATAGCTTTAGGAAAATGAATAATATTATTGATCATCTTAGTTTGTTACAATGTACATCAACATATATAACTGGTTTATGCTAAAGGAAACTAAATCAACCATACTAAATTACAGTAAACCGGTATATACATATTTATAACTCTAATAAAATCTTCTTTGGAAATCTTAAACAAAAACCCCAAATCTATTGATTTTGTTCTAACTCAGCCAAAATTCTACAATCAACACAGTGATGAACAAAAATGGATCATTCACAGAGGGATTTAAAGATCAAAGAATGGAGAGGAGGAGAACTTTTTTTTTGTAACACGAAATTATATTAAAAGCTCAACGAGCATGAAAGTTTACAACTGAAGCAGAAGATCCCGGAGGCATATGCTCGACGGTACAACAAAAGTAGAAAGCATTACGAAACATAAGAAGATAAAGCCTATAAAAGACGAGTTAAGCTTAGAAAGATGAAGAACCTCATGGAGAAGTTTTACCTTAATCCCTAAGGCGATTGTTTACATGAACAATTGATAGTCGAAATCGACGTTGATACACCAATAAGAAACAGTTAGACTATTACCCGCCAAGAGCTTTTGGTGAGAAGCTCCTGGACCTTGGCCAACATCGAGAAGAAGAAGTCTTATCTGACTTATTTTGACACTGAAATTGACACAATCAATTCTAAACTCAATAAAGCTTCTCAGCGAAAGTAGCTGAATCTCATAAGCTAGCTTAGCTTTCATATGGACACTTAGGACAATGGAGTTCTAAACTCAATAAAGCTTCTCAGCGAAAGTAGCTGAATCTCATAAGCTAGCTTAGCTTTCATATGGACACTTAGGACAATGGAGTTGGATGATGGACTGAACGGTTTAATCGGGTCAAAACCTCGGACGTCAACATTACCATGTCAAAGCCAATATTTTGTAACCGGGATAGACATGAGCTTATTATCATCACACTCGTTCTGGGAGGAGGAGAACAACGTAAACAAAATAAACAAATTTGAACATGCAGAAACTTTATTATCAGCTAACCAGATCAAAAGATCTGACGTAGCAGAATTTTCCAATAGATTTGGTAAACCGAAAAACAGAATGAACTTATGTTTCCAAAAGATTTGAAGAGAGAAGTCCCGAGTTCGGTTTTGTGAAAATTCTCATCAACTGAAATGATATGAGATGTTGATAATTTACCTGTTCAACTTTCAGTCCGGTTATAAAAGAAAAATGACCCGACTTAGTTTTTTTTTTTTTTTTGGGCAAAACCCGACTTAGTTTAAATTCGCCCAGATTGAATACCAAAATATTCTTGTGAGAAAATAGATGATGAACAACACATAAACCAATAGAAACCAGAAAGATTGGTTACTTAAACCCTTTTATTAACCAGTGGCAACCCGTTGACGATAAAGGCATATCATGAGACGTTTTCATACAAAAGCACACCTTTAAAACTGATAATAATAACTCAAAATAACAATCTGCATCATTACCACCACATAGAGACCAGACTTAGAAGAGTTCCTCTTCCTTGTGGGTATGAATCACACAGTCAGACTGCGGGTAAGCCACACAAGTCAAGACATAACCTTTCTCCAAATGATGTTCCTCAAGAAACGAACCATCACCCTGGTCAACTTGGCCATTCTTGATCTGACCAGCGCAGGTGGAACACGCACCGGCTCTGCAAGAGTAAGGCAAGTCAACTCCAGCTTCTTCAGCTGCATCCAATATGTACTGGTCGTCTGGGACCTCGAACTCGTTTTCTTGACCATCGGGTCCGATGAGCTTGACCTTGTATACAGCTGACATGGTGGCACCAGAGTTGGATGAACATTTCAAGCCAAAGGATCTCGAGACTTTATTGACAGATCCAACAGAGACTTTGTTGGTGATGAGCTTGTTGGTGGATTGGCTTCTAAGAACCGCCTTGGTGGTGGTCATGCTAGTGGAAGAAACTTGAACGGTTGCCATTTTTTAAATACACCTGTGTCTGCAAATAAGAAGTCCTATGTGTTAGAAACTTAAATCATCGTTACAAAAATAATAGATAATAAGCTCTATAACGATGAAAACAAGTTAATAAGTAAAATTGATTGATGTGCATCACAAGTAGCAAATGGGCACAAGAACCAAAAGAGAATCTGTTCCAATATGCAAAACTGATGAGAAAGTTTTAATGTATGGAGCGTAATGAGAAGATGCAAGCTTGAAAGCTTATATTAGCTCTTCACTCGATGCTCCAAAAACACATATGACTAATGAGTAATATAAGTTAAAACATAAGATTGATAGATGTGCATCACAAGTAGCAAGTGGAAACAAGAACCAAAATAAAAGCTGTTCCAATATGCAAAACTAATGAGAAAGTTTTCATTTATGGAGCGTAATGAGAAGATGCAAGCTTGAAAGCTTATATTAGCTCTTCACTCGATGCTCCAAAAACACATATGACTAATGAGTTAATATAAATTGAAACATAAGATTGATAGATGTGCATCACAAGTAGCAAGTGGAAACAAGAACCAAAATAAAATCTGTTCCAATATGCAAAACTGATGAGAAATTTTTAATTTATGGAGCGTAATGAGAAGATGCAAGCTTGGAAGCTTATATTAGATCTTCACTCGATGCTCCAAAACACAAGAGGACTAATGAGTAATATTTTGTAATTAAATCACTAAACAAGTCTTGATTTAGACTTGAACAACGATTTAAGGTCTAGATGTTACAAACTTTTCAACAAATCACAAAAGTTACTCACTCGCTTGAATTTTTATTAAACTATTTGATTTTAATTTTGCAGTTAATATATGTTCGATTTAGCATATCAATCGCAATACGACATCAAACCAGTCACTATCAGATGAGGAAAGTCGAATCAAATCGAGTCGAAAGATATTGAGTAGAGGGGATTTGTGTTTTGTCCCCACAACGAAGTCTAAGTAAAAACAAGAATCAAACGTAGGTTTCATATACAAACACCGAGACAACTATCAGAGAAACAACATAAGAAAATAGAATCAAAGAGATTCAGATTCTAAAACTTACAAGAGAGAATGAAGAAAGAGGAGGCGGAGACTACGAGAGGGTTGGTGGAGAGGTGAATGGTTTTATAAACCGGAAGATTCGGGAAGCGTGGCTTTTCGAAGGCCGTGACGGCCCAACTTCGTCGACTATTATTTTTTCTCACTTTTTTATTTATTTATGCTAATTAGGTCATTATTTTCTTAAGTGTCTACATAATTATAAGTATTAATTTAGATAGATTTAAAAAAGTCTAAATGACTAATAAAGCCATTTTCAGATTAACTAATATAGAGTAACTATTATGAGATCAACTTTTATTTAAAAAGTATGTTAATCTCATTATTATCCTAAATATATTCATATAAAAAGTTTTTTAATTAAAGTTCGAATACATAAAAAATTGGTATGTATCTAGATCTAGATGTTTTTGTGTATTTAGATGTATTTTATGTTTTAATACAACTTGCAACTTGCACACTCTGATGGGATCTTGATAGAATGTTTGTCTGATAGTTAAAAAAAACACATTATAACCTTTACCGTGTTAATAAGAAAATAATGCTTAAAAATATTATAACTGTGAACAATAATTAGGCATTGTTATTTATTATAAATAATACTTAAGTTGCGTAATGGTCTTTTGTTGTGTGAGATCAAAGGTCAAAGTGAGAAGTTGGCATTACAACCTTACGAAATAGCGTGTCCCTTGACTCGTGCCATTGGCCGTATGCAACGCTAAGGCCATAGGGAATTAAATTTGAGTTTCTCTTTAAAATATCAAATGAATTATGCGACTATGTCGACACAAATCGACGAAAATCGCACTATGTAACACACGCTTCTTGAACAGAGCAGATAGAAATGAAATGTAAATACTCAGAACACTAAATAAATACTCAGACCCTATTTAGTGTTCTTAGCTTTAACCGGAAGCCTATCAAGATTTGCAATCCGAAAGTTAAAAAAATGTTTGTAAACACTGTTTTAAAAGCAGACCACTTTGGTCCAACCTTTAATGATCTCACTTGGCCTGAGAGTGCACTTCTTTGAGCGTCCTCACTTGGTATGGGAATGCTCATAAGTACCAAAAAACCTTGCAAAAGTACGGTTCCATTCCTGTTCTTTGAAACAGAAGGTCAAGGAAAAGGAAAAGGAAAAGCTTGTTCTTTCCTCTGATCCTTCCAAGATCCAATGTTCATGAAACTAATAATATGGAACTTGAGAATCAATCATGTTGCTTGATATCTTGTGCATTTGCATGGTTTTAGGATTCATTTTAGCTTTCATTTTATTATTCTTAATGCATTTAGAGTGCATTTAGGTTGTATTGCATCACTTTTGTATTAATTAGGTGTTTGAAATCCTTTTTTTGTTGATTTTGAAGGCATAGAAGCTGATTTGGAGCCAAGAATGGAGATTTGTGCTCGTTTTACATCACCAGCCTAAGTACCATTGCGATTTCACCGTAGCGACTTGTCTAAGTCATTAGGAGCACTCGCGAGTTTTTGTAGCGACCTGCCTAGCGACTTGGCATAGTCGCTACAAGAAGAAGGGCCACACTAAAAAAATCGATCAAGTGCCATAGCGACCTGAGCGTAGCGACTTCACTAGTTCGCTATGGATGTGCACGAGCTATTGTAGCGACCTCCATAGTGACTTGGAGGTGTCGCTACAGATTTCAAGGACTGAAGCTCAAATCTAGTCAAGTACCATAGCGACCTGAGCGTAGCGACTTCACTAGGTCACTATAGATGTGCACGAGCTATTGTAGCGACCTCCGTAGCGACTTGCAGGTGTCGTTACAGATTTCAAGGACCAAAGTTCAAATCTGACAAGTATCATAGCGACTCCAGCGTAGCGGTTTCATCAGGTTGCTATGAACTTTTACGAGTCGTCATAGCGACTTCCGTAGCGACTTATGCTGGTCGCTACAAACCCAACGGACGCGATCAAACCGTAGCGACTAGAGTGTAGTGGGATGGCCAAGTCGCTATTAACGAACATTCTCCTTTTTTATTTGGTTTGACCCTACTTGTTTTGGGATTAGTATAAATACCCTTAAACTTTATTTTGGGGAGCTTATCTTGTATTTTCTCTCTAAAACTAAGTAATATTTGGTGAAAGATCATAACTTTATCTTTTTTTTCATCTTATTTTCTTAAGTTTGTTGAGTAATCTTGATCTCTAATCATGTTTAACCAACAATCAACCATTGTTGTTTGGTTAATCATGTGTATTAGTGAGTAGATCCATTTTAGATTCATGAGATAGGTTGAGAGAAATCTTATTACTTGTTACATTTTATATTGTTCTTAAATCATTTCACATTCTCTAAACTGATTGCATTTAGATTAATCATAGTTTGTAATCTCTTTATTTCAAAAGATTTAGAACTTAGATTGACATCTAAAATATTACTTTGATTTGCATAAGGATTTAAAACCCCTTTATCATTGCTACACAAAGAAGTAATGAAACTAGTGGAGATGAAGAGCTTTTGGTTTAGTCCTTATAAAAATAGGTTTCACGTATGGTTGTGGATAAACTTAATATGAATGTTTGCACCTTGTTTGTATATGTTACTTGATGCACGGGAACGATTGAAATTTAGAATTTGCAAGCTTGCATAATGTGTTATGTAGTCTGAGGAAAAGTAAACTAGCATCTGTATTCGGCTGCTAAAATCAAACCAAACCATATCTGAAGAAGCACAAGATCTTTGAAACAAAAACACAAAGCAAAAATTCAAAGATGAAAAGAGCAGAGAGCTCAAAATATCCTCTGTGGTGGTCCCATGGTGCTCTTCAAGTACAAACACCTCACCTGCAAAAAAATTCAATTCAAAAAGAAAATTAGAGTGCTTTAGAAAGAAATAAATGTAGATGGTTTCCCCATAGCAAGTTAACAAGCTCATACATTTTGCCAATTCTTCTTCAACAGCGAGACAAGGAAGTTAACGCTCATCTGAACATTCTGAAAGAGCTGCTTCTCTTCCATGGAAAGGTTACCAACTGCAACACCCATACACAAAACCTTCTTCAACTGGAACTTTACTGTCGCTTTGGTCTCATTCACCTTTCCTTCCAACGACTCTTGGTGACTCACTAGTGTAGGGAACTTTCCTGTCAATCAACAACATATCAAGAAAGTTCAGACCTAGCAATCCATATTTAACCATGTGACTTGAAGAACACAGACTAAAGTTACTTGCCTGCCTTGTTAAGACCAGGACCAAGAAGACGAGGAATCTGCTTAATGACAGATTCAGAAGCCAAGAAAGCATGGTACTTCTTGGCAAGCTTCTTAACAAGCTTCTTGTTCTTGTTGAGCTTTTTCAAAGCCTCAACATCCATAGAGTCTAGTTCAATCTTCTCAGCCTATCAACACCAAGCCGAAATACTTTGTATCAACATTTCAAGAACATTTGGCACAAAAAAAATCAGAGAGATTATTTATAATCACCTCCTCAACGTGCTGAGCATCTCCAAGCATACAGATCTTCATTTTAGGGCGAGGAATGTGAGGGAGCTTGACAGAACCACTGAAACGCTTGTCCTTTTGTGGGTCATAGTTCTTGAGACCTATCTGAAGCTCAACTGTCTCGACAAAGTTGCGTTTCTTCTCATCAGCTTTGCTCTTAACAGCTGTGATTCCTTCTCTTAGAACCTCACTCTGAAGCTTACTGTAAACAAAACATATCAAACGCAATTAACAACCTGTAATAACATTCATTTTTTATGATCCATAGAAAAATAAGACAACAATCTTGGCATGAGAATTAACATTTTAAACATATAACAGACAAGACAGAAACTAAGCCGACAATAAAACAATAGCAATGTGGATCGGTCTGTAAGATAATTAGGAGATGTCAAAGATACCTCATCTTGAGTGTCTCTCAATTGACGAATCTCTGAACCTGGAAACGAGTAAGCAAACAGTAAGATCAAATGGAGAAATGTATGAGAAAAGATAAGCTCAATATTCAACTGGGACCAATCGCTAACGTTATACAAGTTCTTATGGAAGAGTGTATGTAATAAACGAAGATTGACGACGTCGGAGATAGACGAACCTGAAAGGTGAAGCCGTATCCTGCTCAGGCGGCTGAAGAAATTATATATGAGGGAAGAGAGACGAAAATGAAAGGAAGAGACTACTAAACCCTACTTCATGGGCCGTTGTTATATTGGTGAACCATCTGAAATTCTTACTCAATAAGCCCATTTGTTTTTTTTCGTAAATGAATATGAGGATACGTAACGAGTTTGTATGGTCCTATAAAATTAGAACAAGAAAGATTTGACTTGTATCATCCGCAAGAGAATCTTATATATTAAAATAGAAGTCATGACTTGACTCTATGTGTGATTTTTAAAATTTTAGATTTATTCCTAAAAAGGGGTTATATTAAATTCTCTAATATTATCATTATTATATCTTATGAAAAATCATATCTATAATAACAAATATACGTTTAAAAAATTGGTTTGGGTAAATTACTCCACACTTTCCAACTTAGTCACGCAAAATATGTCTATATATATAAGTTTAGGAATCTTATATTATTTATAAGGAAATATGTCAATAATAGTAAAATGTATTCACGATATATTAACAAAAATCACAGATTCGTAATATGAAATATTTATATATCTTATATATTAAAATAGAAGTCATGACTTGACTCTATGTGTGGTTTTTAAAATTTTAGATTTATTCCTAAAAAGGGGTTATATTAAATTCTCTAATATTATCATTATTATATCTTATGAAAAATCATATCTATAATAACAAACATACGTTTAAAAAATTGGTTTGGGTAAATTACTCCACACTTTCCAACTTAGTCACGCAAAATATGTCTATATATATAAGTTTAGGAATCTTATATTATTTATAAGGAAATATGTCAATAATAGTAAAATGTATTCACGATATATTAACAAAAATCACAGATTCGTAATATGAAATATTTATATATATGTGGAATAGATCTAACAGAATATTCACCCTCCGACAACGCAAAATATGTCAATAGATATAAGTTTAGGAATCTTCTATTATTTATAAGGATACATTTAGTTTGAGTAAATTACCCCCACACCTTCGACATATTTTATTATCTTTGCAAATTAAAATATACTAATATTTAATCAAGCTCTATTTATCTTACTTTATCCCCTATATATTAATTGAGGAACATTTGAAAAGATGTAACCTCAATTTTGTATTAACTAAAAGAGGCCCCAATGCATAGGTGTCATTCAATTAGGTAGTCAATTAAATTCAATTGAAAAATAATTAAGTCCACATTGAATTTTTATAGGTTGCTAGATACATTAGTTAGTAAAACTATATGATATAATGATATGATATGCTATTTTCTTTCCATAAATAAAACCTACGGAATTACCATAAATGACTAATATATATATATGACACTTAATGATTATTCCCTAAGCTATAATTACTATTTTATTTTATTTCCATAAATAAAACCTACGGAAATACCATAAGTGACTAATATATATATATGACACTTAATGATTCTAATAATAAATATTTGATAACAGTTTATATATCCTCCATCATTTTTCTTTAATTTTAGATTATTAAAATAAATTAAACAATCAAATTAGCTATAAAATTAAACTTTAGATTTTTTCGTATATGTTATATTTTGAATTTTAAGAAACGAGAATAAATAACTAAACTATTAAAATTATTATCTTAAAAATTAATGATCAATAGTTTAACATTTTATTATAAAAAGATATACATGATTTTAAAACCATATAAGTAAAAAGTATCATTCAATAATAAAACAAATATATATACAGATTAAACTATATACCATATAAGATTACATAAATATTTTAATTTCAAAATTTTCAATAAATTTTCAAGAACATTTATAAATTATAAACTTATTAAATTTTTTTCACATTGAAATTTTTTGTTATCAATGATTTAAATATCTTAGTTCTATTTTTTTAATTTTATATTTTCAAAAGATATTAACAATCGATAATATGGTTATTTTTGGTATATACCATACAAACCGAATGGATGTGATTTTATAAAAACCATAGGATTTGGATATGGTTTGATTTATAATCGATTAAACTGAAACATGTAAATATGTATATATTTATAACGACGCATGAATATTTATTTGTTACATGAGTTGAACTATAATTATAATTTGTAAATAGTTAACAATTTATTACAACTAAGACTTCTTATTTTGATCTTTTGCTTTTTTAACAGTAACTAAATTGAAGTAAAGATTATAAATTTGATGGACAACAATTAGTTGAAATTCTTTACAACTTTTTTTTATCTTTAAACAGACAGAGTTGTGTTCAATCGAAGACATATTGGTTTGATGAACACTAAATATGGAAGAATATAAAAACTTTTCTTTCATGCTTCTGTTTTGTTTTTTTATTTTTATTTTCAAAATTTAGTGTTTTGATATTAATTCTAGATTTGATCATTTTATTAGATGATAGAAGCTTTTTTTTTGTTTTTTCTTCTTTTATTTAAATATATAATATTTTTTTTAATAAATGACTCTGTGACAATATGACTCTAAATATGATCATATTATATATTTGTATAATATATAATATGATCTTAAACTAAATAATTATGTTTTTTGGTATAAAATTGAATAAACTGAAAACCGATGGTATATAAACCAAATCAAACTGAAGTACATATAGATTTAGAATAATAGCTATATTTTAATGATCGAAATACCAAAAAATCGAGCCGAACCGAAACCCGATATCCGGATTGAACACCTCTAATCCGAATGAAACCGAACTATTGTTTCATTTTTAAAAACATAATAAAAATAATAGCTTCATCCCGCGCAAGGCGCGGGTCTTATCCTAGTTTAAAAATAAAATACTAATCTAACAAACAATTAAATCTAGAAGAAAAAACAAACACATGTTTGAAAAACATGTATAATATAGAAAATTTGAAACAATCTATTTGATTAAAACACGTATTATATAATATTATTATGTGTGAAAAACATTTACTATACACATTGTAAATATGTAATTAATATAATATATAAAAATTTACAAGTGAAAACAAAATGTTTATAGAACTAACTATAAACGAAAACAAACACCCGCGCGGTTGCGCATGTCAAAATCTAGTATCTACTCTATTAAAATAGAGTCATTTTTTTTATCTACTGATACAAGTTGTCATTTAAATTTGGATCCTTTCTAGAATGTTACAAATAATATAAGTCTATAATTGATTGAACCGTATTACTTAAATTAAACCAACACAATTAATGTAAAGAGACGACCTTAATGTAAACTACCTTCAAAATACGGCAGATATCTATGTGTATACCAAAACACACATATTTTCTCCTACAAATATGAAATGTTCTAAAAGAATATATATCATCAAAATTTGGAATATGGAAATCTACTAATTATACTTAAATTAAACCAGTGGTTGTTTATGTAATATAGTCTTGGGCTTACTTTTATTTTTTGAACAAAATATATAGTTTGGTTTTTTGGCTTAGTATTAAGAAAAAACTCCAATGACATTGAATAAACTTTTCACCTTAAAAGATCAAAAAATCAATTATTATTTTCAGACCCAAAAGGTATTTAATATTTTTAACAAAACAAAATTATCTATTATTAATCATTTATTTAAATCATGTACTTTAAAACATGTTAATATATTTTTTTATTTTAAATAACAATCACTTTGTTTTGATAAATTTCAGTACTAACTTTTAAATAATTTATTGTTTTATTTTTCTTAAATAATTTACTGATTAAAAAAATGTAAAGCAAAACCAAAAACCAAATCTAAAAACTAAAATCCAAAACCAAAAACTGAAAACACATGTTATATTTTTTTTCTTTGTTTATTTACAAAATAAACTATTTCAAATTTTTTTAAAAAAATTTGTTATCATCTTTTCAGTTTTAAATTAGATGTTCGATTATTTGAGATTTGTTTGTTGGTAATATTAGTTCAAACTAACTCAGCGGGTTTAAAAATTAAAAACCCAAACCAAAAACTGAAAATGAAAAGTAGAAACTTAAAAACTAAAAACCAAATTCTAAAAATAAAAACTGAAACTAAAAACTAATGAAAAACAATCATCACCACAAATTTTGGTGAACTGATTTTATATCAAAATATTCTTTAAATTAAGATAAAACCCAATTATATAAATTTTTAATCATAAAAAATTTCCGCGCTTTCAAGCGCGGGTCAAAATCTAGTGTGTTACAAATAATACAAGTCATATAGTTAATTGAACCGCATTACTTAAATTAAACCGATGATTATTTATGGGATATAGTTTTGGGCTTACTTTTGTTTTTAGAACAAATTATATGATTTGGTTTTTGGGCTTAGTATTAAGGAAAAACTCCAAAAAACATTAAATAAGCTTTCCACCTTAATGGATCAAAAAATAAGTTATTATTTTCAAGCCCAAAAAAATTTAATATTTTTAAACAAAACAAACTTGTCTATTATTAATCATTTATTTAAATCATGTACTTTAAAAAATGTTAATGTATTTTTTTTATTTTAAATAACAATCACTTTGTTTTGATAAATTTCAATGGTAACTTTTAAATAATTTATTGTTTTATTTCTCTTAAATAATTTACTGATTTGAAAAAAAAATGTAAAGCAAAACCAAAAACCAAATCTAAAAACTAAAATTCAAAACCAAAAACTGAAAAACAAGTTATATTTTTCTGATTTTATTTATTTACAAAATAAACTATTGCAAAAATTTTTAAAAATTTTTTTGTCATCTTTTCAGTTTTAAATTAGATGTTCGATTATTTGGGATTTGTTTGTTAGTAATATCACTTCAAACTAACTCAGCGGGTCTAAAAATTAAAAACTCAAACGAAAAGCTGAAAGTTTAATATAGAAACTTAAAAACTAAAACCAAAAACCAAAATATAAAAATAAAAACTGAAACTAAAAACTAATGAATAACAATCATCACCACAAATTTTGGTGAACTGATTTTATCCCAAAACATTCTTTAAATTAAGACAAAACCCAATTACATATATTTTTAATCATTAAAAATTTCCGCGCTTCAAAAACGTGGGTCAAAATCTAGTTAAAGGTTAAACTGGTTTTGCTTTTATTTTCATAAATTTTGAAAAAAAAAAAGAGAAAATGACTACAATAGACCTAAAAAAGTTTTTGTCACAAATATAGACCTCAACAATTAAAATGACCAAAATAACACTTAAATGTTTTATTAAATATACATTTATATCCATTGGGTTAACTAATCATATACTTTTTGTCTAGAGTTGAGGAGTGGGGTTGTGGGGATAGGGTTTCGAATTTTAAAAAACTTTAAATTTTCAAAATAAAAAATGCTATTTTGGTCATTTTAATCTTTGAGGTCTATTTTTGTGATAAAAACTTAAAAGATGGCTATTTGAGAGAATTGCCCATAAAAGAACTATATCGATTTGTGTTAAAAAAGAAAAGAAAGTACATCGATCTTTTCTCTAGTAGTTCGTTGAAATCTTTAACGACTTATGATCATGACCATTGATCATTGTATCACACCAACTATTTGTATTTCAAACTGTTCCTGATGCTTTCATTTACTGAGGCAACTTAATCTATATGTCCATATGTCTCAAACTGTTGACCGGTTCTAGTTTTAAAATGAAGATATTAGAAATGTCTGTCCATGTTGATACTATCATTCCCTCAATTTTTTTTACTATGGGTTGATGGTTATATCTCCCATGATTCTTTCCTCATGCTTCGTTATCTAGCTTATGATATGGTTTATCATCTTTTTGCATTTTCTCGTTATCTCAAAAAATATCCAAAAAGGTCAAAACTAAAATATATGAAAAATAAATAAGTACCTAAAGCCCGAAAATATACTCATACCTCTATTACTATAAAGTATACTTTTCCCTCTATCGAAGCTGCCACGTCAGTAATTAAGGTTAAGAGATTGCAACACGTGTCATGTCACTTTTGGACTTATAATCATTTATCTGATGGGCTGCTATAATAGATTTTGTCTGAGCCCAATAAGGTGACTTCATCTTCTACTCTTTGACATGAAAGTTAGGCTTGACGCCTCTGTCTTTTGGTCTGCAACTCTTCTCATCTCATTCCGAGAAGTCACACCCACAGTTTCACAATAAATACATCCCTTACCTTCCATTCGGTGAATCTGCAAGTATATAGGTTAGTTTGCATCCCTAAAATTCATTGTTCTTTGCTTACAGTCATTTTTAGTAAATAGACTCACGCAGAGAAGACTGGCCAATTCATCTCTCTTCTTCACTGACTTGAAAGCAGGTCGCGGCCGTCGAATTACAGATGTTGAGAGAGGCGGCGAGCTTATGGATGCTGACGTGCTCTTTTGCGTAACTCCACTGCATCCAATCTTTTTCCAAGTATGTTTCAATCCATCAATTGCGGCATTATGATCGGAGCCGTTGTACAACTCATGTATACGTTTCTTTTGGACGGATGTGCTGATGATGAAACAACAACGACATAAAATCTGATTATGAAGGAGTGAAAAAGAACAAGAGATTGGCTTCTTCTCTCGGAGTTCCGTCAACAGGTTTTGTTCTTCTATTCATCATTTGAAATCTTCTTTTTGTTATAATCTGGTCTTCTAAGCATTCATGTAGTGATTCTCATGCCCTGGATTTTTCTCAGGCTTATATCATTTGTTCCTTTGGATCTAAATCATCGGAACGGTTGATTTGCTTCATGTTCAATGTTCAGTTGTTAGTTCCATCAAAGGCAACAAATTTTGCTTGTTTTAAAATGTTTGTAAGAGTATTTGATTCTTATTGTTCATCGCAGGTTATATCAATAAATGGAATTCGGGCCATGGATTAAAGCTACCACAAACTAAAATGTTGTTGTTAACATATTCAGTTGTTTGGATGAGCTTCTGCTATTCACTTGGTGATCATCTTTGGTTCTTTATTTTAGTACTGCAGAATTCTCTTTCTTTTTTCCTTTGGAGTCTGAAAAGGTTCTACAAATTAGTTAATTACATATTATAGTATGATTAATATGTTTTAATGAACCAATAAACTGTTTCATTTCTAAGCTTTCTGAAGAGATTTTGGAATGACACTATGCAAAGATGAGGATGAGAGTTTAAGAGGGAAGAAGAGGATGTTTATCAGTGATTCGAAGAGGATGTTTATCAGTGATTTGTTGAACCCGAGGAATGTATCGTCTCTGATAGAGCTCGATGATCGAACACTCCGTAACGTCTTCTTAATGCTGATATGGGACCTAGATACAAGATGCCTAAGGATAACTCTCATTATCATATGGCAATCGGAGGTGAAGGTATCATGGAAACACTTAACTCATGTCGACATATTAAGAATCCAGAAACTACAAGTGGTGACCTTTTAAAGAAGAAAAGCTCTTTAGCAAATCCTCTCAAAAAGGTAGCGTTGTTGCCTTCCTTGCCACATCAGCCTTGGTCAACACTTTTGTTGACCTCTTCTATTTAGTCTCTGCTCTGCTAAGCTCTTTCCTTGGCTTCTTTCTGCTGTAGAAGCCTATGGAATGTATCAGTCTCTTTCATCTGCCTTCTTCGCTCACAAACCACAAAAAGTTCAAGATCCATGGAGATGTTTGGTTCCCTCACCCTCTTCTCTCTCAAGGTAACTCTTCAGTCTTCATCTTCTGGAAGCCATTGAAGTAGATCTGCAGAGAGTTCTTGCTACGATACTGATCGGGTAATGCAACAATCTATTCAACACCATTCTACTAGAATCAAATTCAGTTAATGCTACTGTTTCACAGGTTATATTAATTAAATTTTGATTAAAATATCAACCGCAAAACCAGGAGAAGGAGCTTGGAGGATGGATTAGGAGAAGAGATTGAGACAAAGCATCAGTAACTCGAGGAATCAAGGATTTAAGAAAAAAAATTGAGATTATTATTAGTCTTTGTTGATCTTTGTGGAATAAGTTAAGAATATAGTTTTTTGGTGGTGTGTCAATGGTGAGGTAGGCGATGGTGCAAGCTCCTCTCCAAGGTTTTGCCGTTTTCTATTAATTATTCTATTTAATTATGTATTTTATGTATGTTTTACAATGTTATCCTTATTATTATGTCAAAACATGAAAGGAGGATATTTGATGAAATGTGATAATATATTCTTTTGTTCAATACAGCCAACCTTAAATATTACAGAATAAAGTTACTTCTTCAAGCTTTTGTTGATGAAGAAAAAAAACGAATATAAAAGAACATTTGAATGTGGTTGGGTTCATATTAATAAGAAAAATTTCTAACGAATAATGTTGTTATTAAACAAATTTCAACAAAAGCTATAATAAGTTATAAAACGTAACCAGTAGAACACTAAAAAAATTAATGAATAGTTCATTGCATATATAATTATGATCTGAAACAAATAATATACGCCAAAACATCATTTCATGTTAAATATGAAAAATAATTGTTAATTATGACGTTATTAAACTATTTATATAGTATTTTAAAATTGACATATAATTATTTTATCAAAGGTTATTTTATTTTCACTAATTTAGCTTAGAGTTAAGACTAATTTATCATCTTAAAAATTAATTAGTGTAAATTATTTTCTTATATTTGAAATTTCTTGATATAAATATAGTAATATAAACTTTAGATTTTATTTTACTATGTCAAAGTGAATAAGATAATATATATATATATAATATTAATTTTTCAAAATTATTTTTCCTAATTCTGTATTCTCTGAAAATAGAGAATACTGTCACTTTAACTGCCACAAAAATTATTATTAAAAATAAAAATAGGATTTCTGAATTGTATTTATTTTAATTTTTTATAATATTGTTCTCAATCTACCATGTTTTTTTAAAAACTACTTCATAAAATTAATATAAATTTATATAAAATAATTTTATTTTAATAACCCGCCCGTAGGGCGGGCCAACCTAGTATCTGAATAAATTAAAGAACTTATACCACAAATAACGAAATATATTTATAATACTCGAATAATAACTGAAACCGAATCAATACGTACAAGTAATAGTGCCTAGAAATCATAAGGTATTATGACTATACCAAAAACCGAAGTAGATTATTTTGGGTTGGTTTTGGTTTGGTTTTTGGTTTCGGTTACGGTTATTTTTGCTGAGGCCTAGTCTTTTTGTTTAAAAGTATGGGCATTAGACCACCCGCAACGGGGGTTCAAGACAATTCCTTAACGCTAATCCTTAGGTTAGTTTTAATGTAATAATAGTTATTATGTTAATTTCGGCCAGGATTGGTCCGTCGGAAGAAGCTTTAGGAGCTGATCCTTGTGTACGTGGCAGCGTGTGAGTGGGACGGGTTCGGTTTGTGTTTGGGTTGGGTCAAAAAAATTTGGTCATTCTCGACCGAGAACGAAAAAAAAGAGCTCTCGAGACTTAAGGCGAGCGTGGCGATTTCTCTCCATCGGCTTCACGAAGGTAAATCGAAGTCTAAACTTGTATATTTGTTCGATTTAGATCAGTTTTCACCTTGTTTCCTCTCAATTAAGGGTTCAGGAATGGGGTTTCAATCGATTTAGGTATCGTTTTTGAAATTAGGGTTTCAAAAAGATTTGGGGTTAAAATCGAGTATGGCCATTTGTAGATAGGGTTTTGAAACGATTTTGGTTTCAATCCGAAGCGGCTCTGCTATTCTTTCTTTTACGGTTTCGAAACGATTTAGGTTTTAATCTGAATTGGATCTTCTCTTTTTTCTTAACGGTTTCAAAACCTTTTAGGTTTATATGTGTTCGCTTTCATTCAGTTGTAAATGATTTGTCATTTTTTCCAATCCATATGCTCTAAGAGATTCGGGTTTTTAATTGATTTGGGATTTCTTCTTGTTTGTTCTTATTACGAAGGTTTCGAAACACCATTTTGATTACAAATGTTGATTACCTTACGAGAAGAATTGATTCTGTGATTTGTATTAACTTAGTGTTACTCTTCTCTTTAGTATTTCCAATTCTTATCTGATTCTCTCTATGTGTTCTTAGTCTGTTGAGCTTAGTGTTTTCGATTCTTATTATGTGCTTTGATTACAAATAGATTAGGGTTATACACTGTCATTTGTATTAACGACTGTTGTAAGAGTAGCTTCTCTTACATATTGTGCTTTGTATGTTGGGTTCTGTGATTGATTTGTAATGACTGTGTTCTCTATATGTGCTCTATCTATGTTGACTGTTGTGGTTCTCTATATGATTTGCGATTGTTTAGTTACGGTTTGATAAAAATGGGACTGTTGTGTTCTTAATGGTTCTTTTATTAGCAGATGGTGAATTTGCATGAACCTCATTTCTTCAAGCCTCTGCTTCCTGGTTTCCACAATGGCGTGGGAGACACACTCTCTCTATTTCTCCTTTATATATGTTCATAATTTTGAGTTTTGCTTAACTTTTCATTTTCTGACTTGCAGACAATACCACTTGACTTCTTCTCAAAGCACATAGAAGGGAAGACAAACCAGAAAAAAATGGAAATTAAAATCGGACGCTTCAGATAACACTTGAAAAGTGATACAAGAAGGCAGGAGACTCACCGGAGGTTGGAAAGATTTCACCACAGCACATGACCTTCGAATCGGTGACATTGCCATGTTCAAACACGAAGGAGACATGGTGTTTCATGTCACTCCTTTCGGTCCTAGCTGTTGTGAGATTCAGTATACACATCCTCACATCATCAAGGAAGAAGCCGCTGCGGATGATGATGCGGGAACATGGGCAATGTCTTCTTTCTAATTCGACTACTGTTTTTTGGCTGAGGTCACTGCTTCAAATCTAAAAGAAGACAAACTTGTGACTAGTTTACATTTTGTGTCTCTATTTCAAATCTAAAAGAAGACAAACTTGTGATCTGTTATGTGCCTTTACGTTCTGTGTTTGCAGCATCTTCCTATGGCAGCTACGCATTCTACTGCTTTGAACAAACAATGCCAAGAAATGATACTAGTGAACAAAGAGGGAAATTCATGGACTGTGAGTTTGTGATTTAGTGAACCAGGCGACATGTATTACATTAGAAGAGGCTGGAGAACGTTCTGTTTTGATAACATATGAGACATAGGAGACTTATTTGTGTTCAATGTGGTTGGAGACGGGAAAACTTCTCCCTTAATGTGTGTATGTCCGGAATGCAAAGAGTGTTCTGAAATACTGAGCAAACACTTGAGCAAAAAGAGTGGTGAGTCTTTTGTGTTGGAGTTGACTTGCTTGTTCTGTCTTTAATAACTTGCTTTTTCTTTCTTTTACTACATTGCTTCTGGTTTAACTTGCTTGTTTTGTCTTGTTCTGCAGGTTACATTGCCTCTGGCTCAACTTCCTCGGCTCTTCGTTTCACTAGCCGTACTGCCTAAGGTTGTAATGATTTTGTTGTTGCAGGTTCACTCACGGGTGCAATTGGACAAGTGAAAGTTTTTTTTTCCTGTAGGACATGTGATCTTCTTCATGGGTTCTGCTGTCTAACTTCATTTCTCTTTAGCTAGTCATTTGCTTTGTTTCCTTTTCATCTCTCTTGTAAACTACTTGGTTTGTACTCTGCTTCTCCTGGTCATATAATCTTCTTTCACGTTCTTCTTCATTTGTTGGTGTTCCATGTTGGTCTCTTGATTCATGTACTCTTGTACATGTTCGTCTAAGGGCATCCCCATCAGTGATACTGATGTGGGGTTTGCAGCTGGAATTTTTTTTATTATTTTCTTATTATTTTTTTTTCGTTTACTTTTTCAAAAAAAAAAAAAAATTTGGCGAATCACAACCCGCCACGTGGCGAACCCGTGACGAACCGTGTTCACCACGACGAACCCACGCGCGCCGAGTTCATCACTGTTCCTCTCGCAAAACGTGTGAACCCCCCCCCCCCCCCCTTAAATCCCCTAATGGGCATGCTCTAAGTAGTTGTTGTTGTTCTCTTGTTGCTTTGTTGTTTCAAGTTGTTTTTAAACTTATGTCTTCATCTTAATATTGTTTTAAAACCTAACTCTTCAAATTGTTGTCTACTAAATCTAAACTCGATCATGATTAAATTCATATACTCCAAACTCGATCTCTTATACATGTCAAATTCATAATCTTTTTAAAATCGAGTTTTGCTACATTTGCAAACAAACATAAAAATTTGCATTGCTTAAATAGATGTTATTAAACCGGTCAATGCAATTAATAAAATTTTAAATTTCTTATGTTTAACAAAAAAAAAACTTTTTTTTCTTTTAAAGACTCCTTGAAGGAATCCACCATTGGACTGCTTATTTTGCGAAGAGTCCTTAACTATTAAAAAAAAAAAAAACGAAAATACTCTTAAGGACTCCACAATGGAATCCACCATTGTGGATGCTCTTAAACATCTTATCCTTGTTCGTGGAAGATCAATATGGGTTCACTTAAAAATATGGGCATTAAACATCTTATCTTTGTTCATTGAAGACCAATATGGGTTCTTTAGCAAAAATCTTCGTTCAACCTACCGAGATTACTCTCAGTGAGAGAAGTTTCTTGGGTTACTTTTTCAATTGTGAGCCTCCTTTCTGGTGTGCATGTGGAGGTCCATAGTTGTCTGCAAATGGTGGCTCTTCTGTGGTCCCAACGCTTTGAGGACGGCTTTGGGTTATCGCTTCCTCAGGAGTTTCATTCTTCTAATTCTTCTTCGGTCTTACATGGTGTTTCTTTGGTTTTTTGTTGATGTGAGTGGAGCGGTTGGTTAATCAGTGGTGGTTTCGTGGTGGAGACGGTGGTGTTGTTGTTGTGGAGGCGGTGGTGGTGTTGCTTTGGGGAGGCATTTGTTAGACATGCCAGTTTTGTCTAGTAAGAATCTATTTTGGAAGACGGCGGATGTACGTGAACGGAACAATAGTGGCGACTACTTCAGGAAAAGGTCTTTTAGGATCGATATATTCTCTCCCCCAACTCCTGCCTCTGTGCTATTTAAGGCATCCCCATTCACTAGTGGCTTTATCTTTGTGCGCCCTCGGTGGTGCGTTATGGTTCTAGATCAAGGTGGTGGCTCCGCTGTAGGTCGGCCTCTCCCTCTCCAAGGTGGCTTTGGGTGGCTCGGAGTTTACAGCACTCGGGTTTCGAGTCTATCTAATTGGGATATTGGGCTTTCTACTATTTTTAGATCAATCAAATATTTTATT